GAGGATTGACAATGGAAAGGAATATGTCAATGAAGAGGTAAAGGAATACCTCCAGGACAATGACATACAGTTGGAATTGACTGCAGCATACTCTCTATCTCAAAACAGAGTTGCTGAGAGAATAAATTAGACTCTTATGGAGCATGCATGTGCCATGCTAGAAGAACATCACTTACCAAAGTTTCTATAGCCTGAGGCAGTAGCATATGCCACATACCTGAAGAACCAATCACCAACCAGGGCCATCAAAAATGATCTAACCCTAGAAGAAGTGTTTCAGGGCATGAAACCAGATATTTTGGCACTCCAGGAATTCAAAGTAAAGTGCTAGATGTTGCAACAAGATAACAAGAGGTCAAAACTGGATCCAAAGTCAAAGAGAATTTATTTTCACAGGTTTTACAGATGAATCCAGGGCCTGGAGATATTATAACTCTCAAACCAGACAGATTCAGACCTCAAGAAATGTTATATTCTCTAAAAGCAACACTACAGAGCCTATAGACACTGACTATGTAGTCTTCCATCCTTTGTCGCTCAAGGGAGAGTCAGAGAGCAGAGTCAAGCAGACTCCAGATGAAAATGATGGCATTTCAGATGATTCTGTGGATGCCAGAAATGCTGAACCAAAAGGGAAAACAGCCTCTGATGTATCATTGATCAAATCAAAGTTCCCAATATAGCATGGAAAGTGATCGAGCCATATGACAAATCAGTCTGGATTGCATCAAAGATCCAACCAAGTTATCAGACACTTTATAATCCAAGTGCATGAGCTGTGAAAACATCAGAACAACAGTGTACCTCAGAAAAATCATCTTTGGAAGCCATAAATGTTGCAATAGCCTATGCATACATTGGGGAAACTGCAGACAACTTCAGTGATGAGCCATTAAGCCTTGAAGAAGCCAAGACAAGACCAGACTGATATTATTAGAAGAAAGCAATAGATGAAGAATACAATCTATTGACTTCTCTAGGCACATGGCAGCTGAAAGAATTACTCAAAGACAGATCACTTGTGGATTGCAAGTGGACTTACAGATTGAAAAGGGATGGTGATAGTAAAATCACCAGATACAAGGTCAGACTTGTTGCAAAAGGATTTTCACAGATACCTGGCATTAATTTCTTTGAGACATATGCACCCATTGTCAGGCTAGACACATTCCATCTACTCATGGCAATTGCTGCTCAAAGAAACCTAATCATTCATGGAATGGATGTTGTTGGAGCTTATTTAAATGGTAAACTCAATGAATCCATTTATATGGCACAGCCACCTGAATATTCAGATGAGAGTGAAAAAGTGGCACACCTCAAATTAATGTTGTATGAACTCAAGCAATCTGGCTGAGTTTGGAATGACAAATTAAATGCTATATTTTTGGGACTTGGATACATCAGATTGATCAGTGATCAATGTGTGTACATCAGACAAATGAGTTCTGGTCCCATAATCATAGCTGTATATGTCAACAACATGATATTACTTGCCTCAGATGATGAAACCATGTCTAAAATAAAAGAAGAGCTTAAGAAGAAGCTAAATATCACAGACATAGGGGAGATTCAATATATATTGGGCATGAAGGTAGACAGAAATTGGGTCAAGAGCACTATCACTCTATCCCAGAAGGCATATATTCTCAAAGTACTTGAGCGAATGAGCATGAATGACTGCAAACCGGTCAAAATGCCTATGAACCTGAATGTATGGCTAGAGAAAATTCTGACAGAAGACCCACAAGGTATTGACACAGCCACCAGACAATATTACCATACTGGTGTCAGATCACTAATATATGTGGCCAATGGATCCCAGCCTGACATTACACATGCTGTCACTGAATTAAGCAAGTATGTGCAGAATCTGGCCGCTGAGCATGTCACAGCCTTGAAGTGAGTTTTCTGCTATCTGAAGGGAACTCTAGACTTCAGAATCACATATGAAAGGACTATGGATGAGCTGATACCTTATTCAGACTCAGACTGGGGAGAAGACAGAACAGATAAAAGATCAACATCTGGTTATGTCTGTATCTATGCAGAGGGAGCTGTTACTTGAAGTTCAAAGAAACAGCCCACTGTAGCCTTATCCACTATGGAAGCAGAATATATGGCCCTTGCACATACAACCTGGGAAGTAATTTGGCTATGAGCACTCTTAATCAAATTAGGATTGCCACCTTATAAAGTGATGACTATTTTTGTTGACAATCAATCAGCAATCAAATTTACTGAGAACCCTATATTCCATGCATGATCAAAGCATATAGACATACAGCACCACTTCATTAATGAGTGCATGGCTTCAAATGAAGTCAAAGTTTAGCACTGTGCATCAGAAGAGAACTTAGCAGATATATTCACTAAAGGCCTACTAAGACTATTACATGAGTATCTATCTGCAGATATTCTAGGAACTCGGAATTGAGAGGGAGTGTTGGGATAGCAATCCTGAGCAAGTATGAGAACATACTCAAAGATATGATGCCAGTCAGTGGCAGCTGACTTGGATCATGATCTAGACTTATTTAGTATCTCATAGAAAGATCTCAAAGTAATATGAAATGTATTTAAGTAGAATGTCTCTCTCCCAAGAGGCTAATAATAATCCTCTGTACATTACTCTGCTCTCTACTTACAACACTTTCTATTCCTAAATCCCATGCAATACTCTGTGCCTGAGAAATCCTGACTTGTGCATTCTAAGACAAACTTGGGGTGCTAGCCATGGGCTAATGAGTTCCACTCTGCTTCTACTCCTGGTTTGGGTGCTAACTGTCTTTAGTGCTTCACTGCTGGTCATAGAAATATATCCTGAACTAGACTATAGTATACTAGCCCTTATGGCATTTAGAATTGGCCCAAATGTGGTACTGTTTCTAAGTCCAATCTGACTTAGTATTTTTACCAAAGTGGTGTAATCCCTCTAAGTTCAATTTAACTTAAGATTACCACCCCAGTGCAAAGTTAGAATTACCATGGCTATCAGCTCAGAGCCTCAGCTATAGCCCTTGAATGACTAGCCATACAGACTTCAGCTTATGTGAATGTATTATTTAAAATCTGCAAATTGTAGGACTAGATGCATACACTGCATATCATCATATGCCTCAGTCATTCCACAATTGCTGTGCCCAACTGAGCTCTTACTTATATTCTTCTACTATTACTATTATCTTCATTTTAAATAATTCAAAACTCCATTGTGATACAAGACAGTAAACTCAATGCCAATTCTGGCTCTGTGACTACATTTCTTCTCACAGGAACTCCATGAATGAAGCAGTGTACAGACTCAGCTCAGTAGGTAGTCCCAAGATGCATTTATGTTTAGTAATGAATGGGTTCCTTACATATGTCTCTGAGTCACATAGCACCAGCATTGCTGAGACATAGGTCAACTTGCCATATACATAAGTACACAGTGGCAGCAGTGTTTTTCTGTATATCCAGAACATTGTATATGTGACGAGGATGACTCGAAGAGCCCTGGAATTTCTTTTTGCTTTACGCATTGCATGTACGACTTCAGCACTTCAGGAGGCTCTCATGGACATTTTCTCTGACCTGATACCTTCTCCCTACCTCTTATTTTCTTCGCACTCCAAACTAAGACCCAATAATAGCGGAATGCTGTAGTAAAGCGTATTTAGTTGATATGTAGTGGTATTTTGAATAAGCGCAAGGTATCTATTGGGCTGTTACTGCTCCTTTGACCGCGTACTAATAACAGGCCCTGAAATTTGAATATAGACTCGGAGGCTGACTGCCCATTTTCCTCATTTCAAGTCCTTCTCTTGCTTTAGACCCAAGAAGTCATCTCACGCGTTGTTCCGGCAAGGCGGACCAAGTATCCGGGTCGATTGTTAGAATGTCGACGACCGTAAGGGTCGTGCGGCATCTTCAAATCTTTTCCCGCTTTCCTTAGGCATATGACCCCGCTTTTTTGTCGTCCTGGAGTTGAGGACACTTTTATTGATGTCGAATAAACGGAGAGACAGAAAGGGGTGGCTGATGCACTATATACAATCTTGGTTTCTCATATAGTCGGACTTACCACAGACTGGATGTTTAGGAAGCGGTACGAACGCGTTTTCTCTAGCCGAATCGATCAATAAAGTTCTGCCACCAGTGATAGAACGTACAGTGCGATGCAATCCGGATTCAATTGACGGAAAATGCTGGTAATCAAAATAATAACGTGTGCGCCGATGTATTCTTTCCTTCCGTCACTCCAACATCTTCGAATCGTGTCCGTACTCTCGAGGGTAAGAGTGAATAATGAGGCAAGTTCATCGTTCCTGTTTGACCGAGTCTGGTGACGACTTGATTTCCGGTTCGTCAGCTCACAGACCAGATAAGAGAGATGGATACATGTGGTCGGATAAGGTCCCTTTCAATAAGGTATCAGTTCGAAACTTTCAGCGGGAAGCCACCAGCGAACCTTCTTTACCCACTTTGGAAGTGGCTGTTCCACCAAGTGCAAGAGCTCTTGCAGCACCTGATTTTCAGCATGTCCGTCGTGTATTGACACATTTCTGGCATCAGACCAGAAGGCTGCCATTTCGCTGGTGAGAAAGGAGGGCAGTGAATGGAAATGAACATGCAATCATGGGAGAAGTTGGAGCGGTAAATTTCACCACGTGCGCGGATACCGGACCGATATAAACCTACACCTCGAATCGGAATATCCCTAACCGAAACCGCCATGAGTTCATCGAAGCCACTCTCGGATATTGGCTATTTTCCTTGCTTTCCATCCGAAATCATTGCTTTCATTATCGAGGAGACATGGGCCCTTCCTTTGAGCAAAAAGGAGTGACTTTTTTCATGAAGGCATCACTCCGTGTTAGTCGAAGACCTTTGAGACGGATATCGATCCGGGAGTCCCTGAACTAGGGTTCGACGCCGCCAACATCCGTCCACCACCAAAGACGCCTGAGGAGCGTTTCTGGGGTCATAACAGATACACGAGCTGGGATAGACTGGCCAAGTGGATAAAGGAAATGGAACTGCAAAATATGGAGGACGAAGTTGTGACGGAATACAGACCACTTCCAGCGCCGTTCCCCAGAAAGCCAAATATCTGGAAGGGTATGATCAGATTCTTTTGGGAAGGAGGATGTTTAAGGTTACGCGGCGCAATGTGAGGCGAGCGACGGTTATCGTGTTTTGATTATTCTCTGGATGTGACTGAGAGCAACGAGCCACTGCCTACGTTGGGAAGGAAATCCCTTCTCCCACAAATTCCGGTCGATGAGATGATGCTTCCACGGCGCGTTCCTCTTCCGTCGCAGCATAGCGAGCTCATAGGCAAGATATGGAGGAAGAGGCGGCCGCGGCTCCTCAGGCTGGGCGTTCGGTGTGAAGACACGACAGATCCAACACATTCTGGGGAAAGGAAATATAGAACGATAGCATTAGCGCCCACTAATAAAGCGCGCCGAAAAGGAGGTAGACCACCTGATAACATGAAACGTCAATTGTCAATTATTATCTGCTCTAAACGTCGAGAGTAGTAGCAACGCACTCGATCACGGGTGGCCGCGTTTCCGTATCCTTCCGTAGCCCCCACATTCCTGGCAGTTTGTCTTCCTTGTGCATAATTTGCTGCATGGTCATTTTCTGGGACTGCACAGTGGCGTAAAGTTAGGAGCAGAATGTCAGAATATCTCTCAGAGGGCTCTGGCATGAAATTCTCTGAGGCATTGGATAATTTGTAATGGCGTAGCGCCACATGGCAAGAATTTGAGAATGAGCGGTACAGCGCCCGGGCACTCGGAAGGTGAAGCATGAAGAAGGCTCGCGTGGAATCGCCATCTCGCGATTGGGGTTGAACATACAGTGGTATGAAATTCAGGGTGTACTGGATATTGATATGCTTGAAGTTCAGAACGTGTACAAAATCCCGGTTGCGTGCTCTGAAGCGACACCATTCCAATGAGCGACAATATTAGTACACAGCCTTGCAATGAACCTCCTCAGACATAATAGTCTTGCACCACAAGGTTCTTAACCTGGAAGACCGCATCCGGTTTATTCTCAGCGATACGAGTCTTCGTCCGGTCATGGACATTCTTCACTCGCGCACGGACATACTCTAGAGGTGAAAACCATGAGTAATTAATTCATTAAAAACTTGAGGGACCCATTACAGACCATATCCACTGACAGAGTCTTCATTGACTTTGGTTTCGTCTTCGGTCACCAACCCTTCGCGGAAGAGAACAGGACTCGGAGCAGGAACCATCGGTACATCATCACCTGGTCTTGCAAAATAGAAGAGCCCGAGACGTTCAAGATGCGTTTGGTCGGGAGGAGGACGGACGACGCGATGGATGGTACTTTTGATATATCCCTACATTGAGGCAGTAATGAATATATATCTCACATCGAAATCACTCCGCCATCACCTTCGTTAAGAATGACAAGGTGTCGGCTGCATTGCAGGTGATGCCTCCTGGGACATATTTGACCCACTTCCATTCATTATTGGGATCCTTGACTTGGAGTCTACGAATAGAGTGAGCGCATATAAGCATGACGGAGAGTTGAACTCACGCTGCAACGGGCTGAGAGAAGAGGAGGGTAAGAGAACCTGTTATGAAGCTTCAGACCCATTTCATGGTCACAAACCAGAGAAAGGATACCAAAGTCTATATCATCAAGATCAGCATAATCTAAAGAAGCCCAAAAAGAAATTTACCTGTATGTCCAGCTGTCCATTGGTCTGAAATCTTTTTATCATCTTCAAGTGACCGCGGGTGGTAAATCATCTAATCTGGTATGTCACCTTAAACTAGTTGCGAAATCGAAAGGACCAACATAGCGCAGATGATCTTCTGACGGTGCATCATAACTGTGACGATCGATAAAGTAGTTCTCCGGCAGCTCCAGTATTATCGCGAACAGGACAAAAAGTTTCCGAATGACATCGTCCCATATTCTCCGGTGGAACTGGGCAATCTCGTCATGGAAGGCTTTGACGAATTGATGCTGGGGAACATTAGCATAGTCCGGCGTGAACTTTGGTACATTTAGCTGAAGTAAAGCATACGTGAATGGTTGAAATGAGATGCAGGATAAGAAGCCTACCATTTCCATATTCTCTTTAACATCCGAGCTACTAACGAACCTTGTTGGCTCTCTGTATCCAAAATAGCTAACCAAGCAATTGAAAAATGAACCTGGAGATAACAGTGGTGGGGAACTCACTTCCCGATCGAGAAGTCACAGGCAACCTTTCTTTTCTCCTCTAGCGGAAGCTTGAAAAACGTATTACCAATAGCAAGCTGGCGATCCAGCTGCTCCTGAGTAAAGCCAGTGCCGACTACGGTCCAGAAGCCCCAGCTCTTCAGTGCGTCTTTGAGTTCAACAGCTAGATCCTGTTTGCCATTGGGCTCGTCGAATTTGGATAGGTCGATGATAATGAGAGGGGCCCAGTCAAGCGGTGCCTGAGTTGGCGGGGGGACTATATAGGGCCCAAGCGAAGGTTTTGCGTGGACAAGAGCGGGCATTGAGGTACTAGTTACTATCAAGCTGATTCCAATACATTTTTAAACGAGGGAGAAGAAGACGGTAATCCCGTCTTCAGAAGAGAGCCGAGGACCCAGATGAGGCGATAGTTGCACCATTTTCCTCCTGTTGAGGTGATTGTCCAGGAATAGTTCCACCCAAGTTCCGGTGGTAAACAGGAGTACTACTGGGCCATGACACATGGAGTGACGTGTGTGAGCAATGGCGCAAGAGGAATCGTCGATGATGCTAGGTTTCCATGGAGAACCTTATCACAATCGTTGATAAGGGAAAATAGGTAAAACATCTACGACATACACTATGGAGGCCTTCGCGGAGACTTGTAGACCTTGAATGCGATTGTAGAGACTGAGAAGCTGGGACCAAATGAGGAAGGATAGCAATCACGTGGACACGACGCGCAATTGAATCAGCTTCAACCTTGTCAGACCTTATCAAGAGCGGCGCCTAGAGTTGTGTGTGTATCTCTGACACGGAAAAGGACATGCTCTGCTGCAATATACTTCCAGTACATCAGGAGTTTGGAATTTCAAACAGTTGGGCGTTATTTTCTGGCGCCAGTGCTCTAAAACAGCTTCTGGTCTCTTCTTGTCTTTAATCAAGGATTGCTCAAAAACGGAAATCGTTCCTTTCATCAGAAGCTTCTCTGCGGCCTAACCATATGCTTGGACCCTGCGATTTCACCACTCCGCATTTCATAATGAGGTTTCGACATGAGCTCGTCTTCTGTGCTTCTCTTTGACGTGATGATGGGTGTATAAATGTCCTTCCTCTCGGTAAAATATTCCTTTGAGGTGTCATCCTCATCTTACTCTCCTGGGGAATGGATCTCGCTCTAGACGACGAAAAAGCCTCTAATAACGCTCCTCTCTCTGATGAGGAGCTAAAAAAGGTTCAAAGGCGGATTGGTGCGTATCTGAAATCATGCCAGCCATTGCTGACCTGCTCATAGATATCCGTATTATCCCATGGTTGTGCATAACCTACCTTGTGATGCGCATCGACATCAACAATATTTCCAACGCCGCTATCATCAACATCGAACAAGGCCACGGGATCAAGACACAGCTGCACCTGAGCACTCAAGACTGGAACTGGGTCGTTTCTTGCTTCTTCTATCCCTACGCTGCCTTTGAACCAGTGTCTACTCTCCTCATGAAGCGGACGACGTGGGTGTCTTTGTCCGACGAAAATACACCGTCTGATGGTGACAGGCCGAGCTTCTGGATTGGACGGATCATGATAACCTGGGGTATCATTGTAATGTGCATCGCATCGGTGAAAAACTACGGCGGCCTCGTAACGTGTCGAGTTTGTACATGCTTTTCTTCCTTTCGCCTTGCAGGCATGTAAACTAACCCCCCCCCCAAAGTACTCGGTGCCGCCGAAGCTGGGTATTACCCTTGCGTGATATACTACCTCGCGTTCTGGTTTCGACCAGAAGAACTAGCTCTCAGAGTCGTCGCATTTTACTCTTTTGGTCAAGTCAGCGGTTTCGTAGGGGGATTCCTGGCGTTTGCGATTTCATACGCGGACGGAGTTCTAGCGGGATGGAGATGGCTCTTTATCATCGGTATGTACGAATCTTCCTTTGATCAATCAGTAACGTTATCCTGCTGAGCAGAAGGTGTACCTGCGATCCTAATGGGAGTGATGACTCTTTTTATCCTCCCTGACTTCCCACAAACAGCTAAATTCCTGACTGAGCATGAACGGTCGACGATAATCGACCGATTGTCTAAAGATGCCCCAACGAAAGAGGGAAAGACTTGGGATAGAGAGGAGGTGTTGCGGCTTCTCGTGGACCCAACGTTCTGGACGTTCTCCGCGGTATGGTTCTGTCATGCAGTAGGAGGATTCGGGTTGTCGTATGTCTTGCCTACGGTTATCTACGAACTTGGTACGTAGTTTGGTATTCCACGAGCGCGAAATACCGAAGTTCGTCATAGGATTCACAACGACGGCATTGAGCAACGTCCTCTCCATGCCTCCGTCCCTGAGCGCGTTTGCATTGCTGAACACTCTAGGCTGGCTCATCCAAAAGCGTTTCTGGAACCCGTTTCGGGTAGCCATAGGGTGTATGTCGTTCTCGGCTTGGGTGTCCGTAACTGACTATCGGGCCGTAGTGGAATTTACCAACATCATCTGCTGTATAATACTGCTCACCGTGAACGTGAGTCAGCCTCACCGTCCGTGTCGACTTTGTTTCTGACTGGATCTAGGTTCCTGTAGTGCGTTACTTGGCGCTGCTTGTAGCGACGGCAACCGCAGGGTCGGTGTACGCCGTGCTTTGGCCGAACCGTGTTGAAGCTACACGAGGAACGTCAGCCGCTGGGATGGCGATAGGGATAACCAATGCCATTGCGCAGTTCTCGGGTATCTTGGGGCCACAAGTCTTTTCTGGTTAATCTCATCTTTCAAAGGTATATCTCGAGTTGACGTGCGGCGATTTAGGTATATACGGACCATCTTACAAGGTCTCGTTTTCTGTTTGCGTTGGCCTTTTGGCGGGTGCTATATTGTCGATAGCAGCGTCCGCTGTGTTGTTGCACCGATTATGGGGAGATGGGAGGACTAATGTCTCATCGAAAGAGACAAAGTGAAATAAATCTGCAGTAAATATATGTATGGTTCTAGCTAATAATTCATGCCATCTTCAATGCACATCGCACCTGTGAATACTTGACCATGGTCTTGAGCCCGGGTTCAAATTGAGATCTTGAACACTGACTTCAGGCTCAAGCCCAGAACTCCCAGACAGCGGGCTCAAAACTCAGGTTGATGGCAATTTTGAGAGCTGGAGGGGCTGCAAAATACGGAGCATTGAGGCCGAGGTTGTACATAAGAGGTCCTAGGTTAGGAATATGTCACCACCGTGTGAGGGTACTGAGTTGAGAAGCAAGAGAGCAACTGTCAACAAAGCAAGATGTAGATCAGCTGTGTGTCGTCTTATAAGGATCCCCAAACTTGGAACGGCTAGTACTTGTGCATCATACTGGCCCGTACACCGTATCGATGTTTGGGGGTGACGAAATTAGCTGGCCGAGACTCGAGTACACGCACGTTACGCGTCACGGACCTCGTATCCGAGTTGAGCGTCGTGAGCAGGTATTCATACAGGTGTCCAGCCTTCATGGAAGCGATTCTGGAGACAATGTCTGTCCTGTCCATCAGGAACCCGCAAAGGTTTCCATTCAGTCTTAGCGATCGCATCGACTTCAGGATCTCGACAAAATGCTCACACTGACATCAAGTATCCTTCAAGTTGCATTCAATTGCTGTGGGTATTTCATGATCATATGCGGGAACGATGGGCCTCCGAGCCCCGCGTCGCAGCTAGAGTGGAGCAAATTCGACCAGATCCTCTCAGGCCCACTGTTCGACAGTGAGTTTGTTGTAGGCTCGTGCGCCATCTTCGAATCTTTTCCCGCTTTCCTTAGGCATATGACCCAGCGTCTTTGTTATCCTGGCGTTGCGGACCCTTTTCTTGATGTCGAATAAACAGAGAAACAGAAAGATGGTGGATGAAAGAGTCAAGGATGAGTGCGCGCAGCGATCGTGGATGATATAACGGACATTGAGAATCCTGCATTCAGATATGTGGCGGTAAGCTCATTCATTTTCCTTTTCAAAAGCTGAGGGTTGACGACAATGCTACAGTCAGAATTGACTAGGTGATTGGTGATGGACATTGATGCGCTACCTGAGCACTATCGTCTGGTTGTGCGGCAGTGTGGCCGATCGACGGACTGCAATGCTGATTCTCTGCCGGCCGTCGGGAAAAAAGATGGCTCTAACGCTCGCAAGAGTCACTCGTCAACTGATTTGAAGTGGTGAAGCTACTCTGATATGCGCGACACTCTAAACTGAAGGAAACTGGTGACTCATGGCCCAGTTCAATGTTTTGTTCTTGTCCCTAAAATTCTGCCAGAGCTCCTGCTGCTTGCCGACAGTAAATTGGTCCATCAACTTGCGTTTATGAATGGTAACAATGAAGGTAAGGAAAGTCGCGAGGTTGAAGGCGTCGACAGGGTTTGATACGTCAAATGTTCGGACGTTGTGCTCATAAATGCGACCTTCCTATTACGAACCGGTCGTCAAGAATAGTAGCATAGTATGAAAAATTGCGTTTACCTTGTCGTCCTTCATATATGCACAACAAACAGTTCCAAGTGTACCTTCTGTAATGATACTGAACACTGGGAAATTGTGAATGCCAAGTGCAGAAAGAAATTTGATACAAGCGATGAGGTCCATACGTCCTTGGTTGACCCCGTTCTGCTGCATGTTATCTAAAAACTTCTTGTACTCCTGCACGAGCAGAGGAAGTAAAAGGATGTTCGTATTAGTAGCTTTGTCATCTGGTGCATCCTCGTCGTCGTCTGTGTCAGGCTGGGGCGTGTTACCGTCACTGTTGACGATATCTTCATCGTCTCGGCCTTTCTCTATGTCGGTATCTCCCCCCTCATCACTATCCTCACTTCCACTTCCATCATCCTCTGTATCGCGATTGTCATCTTCATCGCTATCTTCATCATTGCCATTATCGTCGTCACCACTATCGCTATCCGATGTAGAAGCATGGAGTGTTTCGTCACGCAGCACAGTGTACGAGGTCGTGTCAGCCTCGCGACTGTCTAAAGACAAGACCTGCAAAGCAACACTCAAGTCGTCTGAAGGACTCACTGGCCTTTGAAGTCGTGATGTCGCAACAAGATCATTGTTGTCAAATGCCTTCTTGAAGTCGGCTGAGGGTGAGGCTGAAGTGAGGGGGGCCCTTGTATGGGATACGGGTTTGCTACGACGAGACGGCAGCAGTGCAAGCTTTTTCAGCCTGGAACGATCTGATGCGGTGAGGGTGATGTGTTCAGGGGGGAAGTTACCGAGAGTCGCAGCCGTAATGCCATCGCACTTAGCCTGCTTCGGTTCAGAGCCCGACAGTGATAGCTCATGACTGTGAGAGCGTAGCGTCAATGCCGCTTGAGCGGCCGCCTCTGCGATACAATAAAGACGAGCAGCGTCTTCATGAGACTTCTCCGAGGAATGGTCACCGTATTCTGCTACTTCACTTTCCCACTGGCGTAGTCGTTTTGCAAAGTCAGATCTCGTTGGCATGTCATGTACGTCATTCCGTGGTAACTGAAGCATACGCTCCAATCTGTGTCAAAGATCAGTATCCGTTTCGCGGTGAGGATCTCATCCGTACCTCGGCTTCACATCATCATTTCCCGGAATCCTTGTGCACGCGTTAATGAGGCCGTCCCAAGCTGTCCTGACTTCTGCTTCAGGAAGACGTTCCCTCTCCGCATCGACCTTGTGCTTTCGCGCCTCGCGAGAGGACGACAATATGGCACTGCGACACGAGATAACATGCTTCAGGACTTCAGGTGGCAATGCTCTCTCTGTCGTGAATCGCAGTTGGTCAGACGACATACTCTTGTATAGCCGGTCCAACTCGTCTTGTGTTTCAGCGTTTAGTCCTTGCTAGGGTCACAGCTTCCGGTCAATCATTGGCCGAAGAATCATAGACAGAAAAACACACCACATTGTCAAAAAAGCCATCA